GCCTTCAGTGTTTTGTCTTCCGTGTTTTGTCTTCAGTGTTCTGTCTGCAGTGTTCTGTCTTCAGTGTTTTGTCTTCCGTGTTTTGTCTTCAGTGTTCTGCCTTCAGTGTTTTGTCTTCCGTGTTTTGTCTTCAGTGTTCTGCCTTCAGTGTTTTGTCTTCCGTGTTTTGTCTTCAGTGTTCTGCCTTCAGTGTTTTGTCTTCCGTGTTTTGTCTTCAGTGTTCTGCCTTCAGTGTTTTGTCTTCCGTGTTTTGTCTTCAGTGTTCTGTCTGCAGTGTTCTGTCTTCAGTGTTTTGTCTTCCGTGTTTTGTCTTCAGTGTTCTGCCTTCAGTGTTTTGTCTTCCGTGTTTTGTCTTCAGTGTTCTGCCTTCAGTGTTTTGTCTTCCGTGTTTTGTCTTCAGTGTTCTGCCTTCAGTGTTTTGTCTTCCGTGTTTTGTCTTCAGTGTTCTGTCTGCAGTGTTCTGTCTTCAGTGTTTTATCTTCAGTGTTTTGTCTTCAGTGTTTTGTCTTCCGTGTTTTGTCTTCAGTGTTCTGCCTTCAGTGTTTTGTCTTCCGTGTTTTGTCTTCAGTGTTCTGCCTTCAGTGTTTTGTCTTCCGTGTTTTGTCTTCAGTGTTCTGCCTTCAGTGTTTTGTCTTCCGTGTTTTGTCTTCAGTGTTCTGCCTTCAGTGTTTTGTCTTCCGTGTTTTGTCTTCAGTGTTCTGTCTGCAGTGTTCTGTCTTCAGTGTTTTATCTTCAGTGTTTTGTCTTCAGTGTTTTGTCTTCAGTGTTTTGTCTTCAGTGTTCTGCCTTCAGTGTTTTGTCTTCCGTGTTTTGTCTTCAGTGTTCTGCCTTCAGTGTTTTGTCTTCCGTGTTTTGTCTTCAGTGTTCTGTCGTCAGTGTTTTGTCTTCAGTGTTCTGTCTGCAGTGTTCTGTCTTCAGTGTTTTGTCTTCCGTGTTTTGTCTTCAGTGTTCTGTCGTCAGTGTTTTGTCTTCAGTGTTTTGTCTTCCGTGTTTTGTCTTCAGTGTTCTGCCTTCAGTGTTTTGTCTTCCGTGTTTTGTCTTCAGTGTTCTGTCGTCAGTGTTTTGTCTTCAGTGTTCTGCCTTCAGTGTTTTGTCTTCCGTGTTTTGTCTTCAGTGTTCTGCCTTCAGTGTTTTGTCTTCCGTGTTTTGTCTTCAGTGTTCTGTCGTCAGTGTTTTGTCTTCAGTGTTTTGTCTTCCGTGTTTTGTCTTCAGTGTTCTGTCTTCAGTGGTTTGTCTTCAGTGTTCTGTCTTTATTGTTCTGTCTTCTGTGTGCAGTTAGCTTAGCACAGCCTTGTGGCGTGTTGATTTTTGCCCAATAACAGCAGTTGGTTTGTTGGCTTATCCACAGGAAATGATCGATCAGGGTGAATAAACAGTCTGGCTGTCTGAAGACCCTGCTGGTAACAGCATGGTACTACCATGTGACAGACATGCTGGTGTATGATTGGCACTGGTATTTGCTGGCAGAGAAAAAGACTTGGTTTTAGTGCAACATAAATGGATTCCTTTACATTTCCAAGTGTCCGTTATTATAAGCAGTGTGTACTGAGGGGTGTGTGAAAAGATAGCTGCGTGCTAGCCACAGATAGATTCATCAGTGCTGAGCTGATTATCCAGCTGACAGAAAATTAATGAAGCCCAGTTCTTCCAAATGACTGAACTTGTAAAAGTCTTACAGTGAGGAGAAATGCCAAACACACACACACACTGTAGTCAGGTCACTAATTTAATTTGTGGCTTTAACTAAAAGTTAATGCCACAAATTCAACAGTTTGTTCAGTGTGGGATCAATAAAGTTCAATCTAATCTAATCTGAATACAGACTATCATAACATTGTGGTGATGGATTCACACTGTCACTCCTCTGGGGCACTGCATTCAACCCCAGTATTTATTAAGCTTAGATTGTACAATGAACCTAATCCTGCATCATTTTGGACTGTACAAACTGGAAAAACCTATACACAAACACAGAGTCCTTTGATGTGCTCTCTGACTCCTTTGATGTTGTCTCATTGTCTGTAGGTTTGTAGCTGTCAGTGTTGTTATTGTCTGTCTTCAGTGCCCAGGTCCTAATAATAAGTCAAGTTTTAATAAGAGCATCACAATAACTTTGATGTGTGGCCTAACTCTAAACAACTTTGTCTTTGTCTGCCTTGGATACCCCTAATATTCTAGCTATTCACAAAATTGCACTGATTCCTTTAATGTTTTCTTAAGGAAAGATACGGTTTCTTTTGGTCAATGTTTGTTGTTTGTCATCAGTGCTTCCTTTCATACCACTTTAAGTCCTTTGAAGTTGTCCTCAGCCATTGTTTGATTTTTCCCTATTAAAGGACATTTTTTAAACTCTAAAGAAGAAACAAATATTAATAAAAAAATACTACTATTGAGTACTCCCACAAAGTCATCTCCGGAGCCGACCCATTGGTTATTTCCCAGTATGAACTTCCTGTCTCTCTGCTTCATTCTTAGTTTTCTCTTCACTCTTTGGACAGAATAACAAACAATAAAATAAAGGAAACTTGACCGGAGCAGAGAGCTGATTTACATTTTGATACATTCTCAAATATAGAAAAGTCATAGGACTGTTGTGTACATGTGGGTATTCCACGTACCCAGGGTATATGTGTGTATATGTATGTGTAAATATATGTCCAGAGGTGGTGCTGCTGAGGGACACTGTGTTTTCCATTACTGCCTCCACTGTTTTCCTGAAGAAATACCAGTCGCAGACGACTCATGTAATCTGGTGGTGGGATCAGGTGCGTCTCCCTTTCCTCTTCACTCCCCCTCTTGCACCTCCACCTCCTCCCCCACCCTCAGTGCTCTCAGAGGTAGAGACAAGCATCATATGTGCACGGGCAAAGTGATGGGCGGAATGGCAGCTTTAATATCGGAGCGATTGGCGGCTGATAAGGCTAACGGCTGTGGAGAGGCGTGAGCGCCAGCCCTCCTCCGCAATAAACACTTTCATTTTGTTTGTTTGGAGTGACGGATGGAGAGATGGAGGTGGAGGATAGGTGGGGAGGGGCGGGAGAGTGGGGGGAGAGGGAATGGACGTGGATGTTATTCAATATTAACAGATCAATCAGAGTCTGGTGAAATATGTATTTTGTCAACTCTAAAGGCCTGTTAGGCCAAAGAGGAAACATTAGAGTCATGTGACTGTGGCTGCTGCTGAAATACAGAACAGTCACAGCCTGCAGTCAGTCGTTTGTCACCGGGCGCTGGAGTTCTATTGGCTGTCACAACAACAACCCTGTCCTGTAGTAGAGAAGTGGATCTTTATATTTACCACATGGGACTGCGACGACTTCATGATTAATCATTAATCACAATCATTAATCACAATCATTAATCACGATCATTAATTATGATCATTAATTATGATCATTAATTATCTTTAGTGGGGGTTAGGGTGGTCTCTCATGCTACCCCTTCTTTAGTGTTGTTTTTTTTTTTTACTTACTGTGTCAGACCTGAACAAGACTGTACTATAGCACTGAGCTCCCACTGATCAGTTTGGCTGTACACGTTGTACGCGTTTGGTATATGATTGGCAGTGACACCAATTTTTCACAGGGTTGCAGGAGATTAAGCTGAGGAGGGGGAGAGGAGGAGGGGAGAATGGGGGGGCGGGAGAGAAGGGGGCTGGGAGGAGGGGGGCAGAGAAGCAGCCTCAGAGGTTCTAGACTGACACAGTAGCTTCATACACTTGTTGCACCTTCATGAAGTGGCCAGCAGGTGTATATAATACTCACTCAGCAGATGTTTATTCTGGAATGCCTTTAAAATAGTCCCACAGTTTTCTGGAGTTCTATTAGTAACTACTGGAACTATTTTTCATGGGGGAGGCTAGTAGGCCTTCAGGCTACTTTGGTTTCACTTTAAGACGTTAATGTCAACATGTCAGTCAACCTCAATCACCTGACCATGCTGCCGTGTGTGTGCACGTGTGTGTGCACGTGAAGTCCAGGGGCTAATCTGGTAGTTTGACTCATGACTCACCCGGGGGGGTGGGGGGTGGGTACCAAAACAGTGCATGACCTTTTAGCTGAACCCCCATCTCCAATCCCCCCACTCCCTCACCCAGTTGTACCTCGTTCATTACCACATCTACTAAACAGGTAAACCCCTCCCCCGCCCCCCCATTCTGGAACGGTCACATGTCCAAATATGTGGAAGATGAAAGTGAGTTGTTTTTCTTTGCTGGTAGAAAATATTCTCTTTCGTCCTCCCTCACCCTCTCATTTAGACATTTCAGCCCCTCTTCATCCTCTTCACCCTTTTCCAGCCGGTTGCCCCTTATACACCCCTCACTGACACCTCAAATAACCCCCCCCCCAGGCTGCTATGTTGATGAGATGATAGGCTGATCAGCGTCAGCAGGATCTCTAATAACCAGAGAGCGAGGAGCGAAGCGAGGCGAAGGAGGAGGAACGGGGGAGACGGATGATTAGCCTAAAAGTAGCGTGCTTAATTAGATGGAATGCTGCATAGATTCTGGAGCAGAATCATCGGCATAGATTAGAATACTAATCCTAACTGGGGGTGTGGGGTGAGGCAGCTCTTCAGGGTCATTTACATAGTCTTCATTAGGGGAATCAGGAGTTGGACCACCACCCGCTCTCATCCTCTCCTTTGTACTTTTTCCACCGTTCCCTGTGCTAACAGTCATGTTCACATGCTAACAAACTTCTGCTCCTTTGTTGTCTTTATAATCCACCAATCCACCCTTTGATGGAACAAAGGCTTTGGGGACATAGTTTTGATCAGATCAATAGATCTGAGGATGCGTTTGTCAGGTGGTCCACTGACACCATCCTCATGGTTCTGTGTCTGTGGATGGTTCTTCTCAAGGACCTGTTAGCTCCACTGTGTTGTTCCCATGTGTTCTGCCTGAGGAAGTGAAGAATCTCTTCTTTGTCATGTACTGCCCTCCCCTCCTCCCTACCTCACCCCCTCACCCACCCTCTGCTCTCTGTCTCCCTGTGCAGTCCAAGAGAAGCAGCAGCTGGAGAAGGAGAGCGGCGTGAAGATCGTGGAGGCCGGAGTCAGTGATGTGAGTAACTCTGTGGTTCCACCTACTCCATCCTCACACCTGCAGACAAACCCAAACACACTGCCCCCTCCAGGTCATTAACAGTCGCTGTTTCCAAGGTGATTCAGTCCAAACATGGGCCAAGTGGCCACTGGACCACAATCAGCAGATTAACTTGAGTGCTGATGCTCCTGTCACATATTGATAGGACAGGAATGAGGAGGAGGAGATGCAGGAGTGGTGGCGCTCCAGAGGAGGAGTTAGGGTTGTGATAAATATTCATGTGGATCAGAGGTAAGGATCTAATCATGCCGCCGTTCAGACGTCCTGGTCGCCCACTAAATGACTTTCTCTATGGAAATGAGACAGACAGCCTCAGACCCCGTAGCTGCCCTGATCATGATGCATGCTGGGACATAAATGGATGTGCTCTGTGCATCGCAGGACAGTTGCCAATGGCAACCAACGTCACCGGCTCAGTACAGACCAGATCATTTCCCAGGGTTTTCATCCCTTTTCTTCCAGCCCTCCTCCTCCTCCTCTTCCTCCTGCTCCTCCTTCCTTGTTCTGTTCTTTGCGTCTCTCTCTCTCTAATGCCCCCCTCCTCTCACCCCCATCCCCCCCAAACTGATGCCTTCACTGGTACAGGGCTGTGTTTGTCATCTTGGGCCTATTTGTAGATAATTAGCTGCAATAATAGCCTCTTGGCAGGAACTGGGGGAAGGGGGGCAGATTGAGAGAGGGAGGGAGGTAAGAGGAAGATTCTGTCTCCCCCTTCATGGGGTGAGAATCTGCACCAGACGCTGTTTTGTGGAAATGCATTTGAAGAACGTGCTGTGTTTGTAGTGAATTACAAGAGTTGGAGAACGCCCTGTGAGTGTGTGGATCTCCCCCCTCTGTGTGTGGATCTCCCCCCTCTGTGTGTGGATCTCCCCCCTTGGTCTTTGGTCCAGGCCCAGTCCTGGTCCGCTTTCTTCATATCAACAGAATTAAACTGAAAATTCCTGGTAGAAAATGTGACCAGAACAACAACAACAACTGAATCAATACTGGACTGTGTGACTGTGAACGCATCACTGCTGGGTATCATGATCATCTGATCAGGGACAACTGCCCCACATCCCCTTTTATTGAAGAGGTGACTAATGACAGAACAGCTCAGTGTCCAGAGAGAACCACATGGGTAAATCAGAGCAGTGGGAGGGAGGAAGGAGTGTACTGGTACTGGTATTGGTACTGGTACTGGTACTGGTGAGATCTGGCCTGCTCCTTGTACTGGTATGGACTGTCTGTGTGAAGCTGCTCAGTTGTGTGGACCTGGGGGCTGACTTGGCCTCTAGCGCCCACTGCTGACTCTGACTGTGTTCATGCTAGGTTGAAGGGATATTACACACATATCCGTGTTAGTATCATTCTGCGTGTTTTCTCTCAAGAGCAGAAAATAACCCCTGGCCAATCGTAGCGCACATTGTGTCCCGGACTAGCGTTCTACCTAAAAGGCATAAAACTGTGCAACTGTGTGTCTCCTGCTACCACCGCCGCCTCCTCCTTCTCTCTCTGGTGCAGGAGGGGGTCAGTGAGTCATCCCCACATACCCAACAGCCCCGAGCTGGAGACATCAACCAGGCACCAGGAAAAGGGTTGCTTGTGCTGGCAGCCATGTTCACAGCATGGTCGGTACCAGTAGGGAGTTAGGAGAGGAGGAGTGAAGGGAATAGACCGACTCAGAAGGAGGTGGAAAAGTGACTGTAGTGAGTCAGAGGAGCAGAAACACAACTGCCTATGGTTTTACCAAAAAAATCGAAAAACATAGCTGCAAATATCAATGTGAGTTTGACACATACAGTGTACTGTATAAAAAAAAAAAAAAAGATATATATAGTTAAATTTATATGTATAATTGAAAATGAGCAGCCTAAGACATGAATTATTCATATGAAACATTTCTGTCATTTTTCACTTTTTTCATTTTCTTCTAGCCACAGTCAGGGACCTGGTTCCTCCTGCTGCACAGTTTGAGACGGTCCCTACTGTATGTGATTAAGTTGGTAGTTAAAATTGAGATTCATTGACATTTTGACAGCAGTCTCATGTTCCAGATAACTCTGGCAAACTGCTGGTGTGAAGAGGCACTCATTAGGCAGCCAATCCCCTCAGCTGCACGTCAGCTGATTAGTCAACCACTGAACGTTAGTCCGACTGCAGTCACCGCACCGTGAATTCAGGCCTGGAACCTAAAGCTCTGCCTCTCAGTATACAAACAAAAGAGATGAAGGTGAACATCAACATTAGTGGGACTAATCCTGTCATCAGTCAGCTCCAGCAGAACGTCATATGGAGGCTGGAAGCACACGTTCTATTTCTAATCAAAGGACAGAGCTGAGAGGCACAGACGCAGAACTGATCTCCGACAGAGGTCTCATCTGATGGTGACCTCTCACCACGGATTTGAAGGCTTTCTTTCCAATTTCCTGTCACATAATTAATGCAGGGGGACATCCAAATGTCTGACCAGTGTCTTTGAAAACTACTGTATTCAAAGCCTGGGCTCAGGACCCAAACATGGCACCTTGGCAGCTGTCATGTGGCCCCAGATTTATTTGTCATGATTTATTTCTACTGGCTTCTGAATTTTGTAAAAGCATTTTAACTAAAAGTAACACTTACTTTTAGCTTTTGTGAACACATTCTTTTTAGCATCTTGCTAACTTATAGCAGTTTGTGGCCAAGGCTAATGTTTAATTACTATGCCAATTATTAGCTATTTAAAGCTAAATATTTAACCGGGCTAATTCAAAGCTCATCCTGTGCTAACCTTAAACCTCACTTTAGATTACACCCACTTATTGTTATTGATTTAGGTTCAGTTATTACCATATTTTCAGGACTTTAAGTCGAACCAGTGCCCTCTAGTGTCTGTCAGTGTGAAAGAAACAAAGGTGAAATTATATATTTTAATATATAAGTTGCAAACTCAACCAAAGGAAGAAAAAAAAAGTGTTATAGTTTTGGAAAATACAGAAGTTGATTGAACTGTGAACCTGTGACTAGTGGAATATCCAACGCACCATAAATACACCACGTTGTACCAGGTGGATGTATCTGTTCCATTAATATTTACTTCTGTACTTGTTCTGATGTGCGTCGTTAGCAGCCACTTGTGTTGCGTTAGTGTTTCCTTTAATCAAATTTCCTCTCAAAGAAACGTTAATAAACACTGTCGCTTCGAGCAAATGGGGACGAATTTTGGAGACGACTTCAAAGCAGAGCAGTCCTGACCGTTTCCGTCAGAGACACTGAAATAAATAATGAACAAGTGAAATCTTCCAGTGGTACCGATTGATCTGGCGCCAGCATGCGTATGGATTTCCATGATTTCTGAAGATGAGACGTGTGTGTGTGTGAACATCAACCGTTCAGTTCCACTGTAACCTCTCCACACTGAATGACATCCCATCCAATCCGTTTCAAACGCTGCATTAAATCCACACAATAAAAAACTGTTGTCTGTAAAACGTTCAGCGGTGCAGGAAGGCAGGTGTGGGGCTTTCTAGAAAGTGGCTAAAATGCCATTACTGGGGCAGATGTGGATGTGAAATGTCATAGCGGAGCTGCCCTACTGTGCCTGCAGCCCTGAGTGATGCTGGCTCTTTGGAGAATCCAGCTGCCTCCTGCAGATGAAAGCCCATCCAGCAGCTCTGCTCCTCAGCAACCTTTTACCATCACCTGACCTTTGGACCAGAGAAACACCTTTGATGCCACGCCGTGCATTTTAGTATTTCTCTCTCTCTCTCTCTCTCTCTCTCTTTCTCTCTTTCTCTCACACACACACAGGCCTTAAATGGCAGTTTTTCTGTGTGTAACTGTTAGAAAGAGCGGACTTTTCCTACGACAGATCCTTCACTGCTCTGACGATAACAGAGATAATAACAGATCAGATAAAGGAGAGAAAGCTTTCTCTGTGCATCTCAGCTTGAAGCTAGTCCACCGACACCTTGTCCACCCAGCGGAGCCACAGCCACAGTTTGATTAACAATCCTTCATTTTGCCTCATTTCAAAGGGCTGAGCAGAACTAGTACTAGTTTAGTACATGACTAGTACTAGTTCTCTTGTCAGGCGCCCGTTCTTGTCGCAGCGACTCTTCTTCTGCTCCGTAAATGTTGTTAGCATGAGAGGTTGACGGTGTGATTCCTCTGTAGTTCAGTCTGTCCTCTGGTCAGATATCTGACATGTTGCTGTGTCTGTGTCCAGGTGACGGTGGTACAAACCCCTGCACCTCTCTGACTCCCCCCTGCACCTCTCTGACTCCCCCCTGCACCTCTCTGACTCCCCCCTGCACCTCTCTGACTCCCCCGTTCACGAGGCACAACCCAGAGTGTGAGATTTTATTTATTCTGATTCAGCCATGTGAGAAAAGGTTTTTTGGTTTTCACAGAATATCAAACATAAATGTGGACAGGACTGATCAAATTTAGTGTTCCTCAAGTCGGGGTCCTTGGACCTCTGGAGGTCCGAAGGTCATAGTCAGCAGGTCCAAAGAATATTTAGTGACTACTGACTACAGTCATGGGTTTTACAGTGTCCTCAGACTGACTGATTTTGGTTTTCTAAATAATTCCTGATAAATGAGGCCGTAAGTGTGCAGACAGCATGACCTGAGCAGTGTCACTCTGGGGAGGGGCCCGGGGTGAAGAGGGTGCAGGGGTCAAAGTCTTTGTTGTTTGTTGTTTTTTTCAGAGCATTAAAAAGTGAACGACCACAACATCTTCCACATCCTGTGGTATCTTTGTGGTCATGGTGCCCCTCCCCCCCCGACCGTGGAATCAGTGTGAGAGATCTGCCCCCCGCCCCCTCGCGGGCCGCCTGGTTGGCTCTGCTGCTGCTGCGGTGGCGTCCGTTGCGGCCGCAGACCCAGGCTGGACAGCGAGCTGGTTTTTGTTCTCCCCTTCAGATTGCCAACTCCAGCTGTCACACAGAGGGACAATAGAGGGGAGGGTGGGGGGTGCTCTCTGAATGGAAA